GGGGAGCATGTACACATGTAAATAAAGGCATTGTGACTTCATCGCTGTGAGGCAGTGACGGTGCAAGGTGGTGCGGCAGTAATAGTCTCCCAGGGTCATTTTTTTCTGTCCCTCACTTCCGGCCCATTGGCAGGGAAAGGCCGGATGACAGCCTGAAACCCAGATGAGCATACAACTGTGATAGCTGGTGGGGTCAACTCCAGCAAATCAGAGGCATCAAGTATCTTTTTTAGATAGCACTCCTTTATTTTCCCATTTTCATCTTGATAGAGGGGTATCTCGAAGAACGAATCAAGTTGAGATAAAACAGAAACATCCTACAGCCTTCCACAACAGCACTGTAGTTAAGGGCTCCTATTACATCGAGGCACTTGTCATTGGCCAACCAGTCCTCTGCCAACCCACAATCCATCAACTAGTCGTAAGCCAACTAGCCCTCAGTCAACCAGACATGAATAACTGGGTATGAATCAATCAAGCCTACCAGACATGAACCAGCCAGGCACGAGCTTACTTGGTATGAAGCAACTGGACATGAATCAACTAAGCACAAGCTTACCTGACACTAACCAACTGGGTCAACGAGGCAACCAGGCCTGTGCCAAATAAGCATGAGGCAACCTGGCACAAGGCAAGCAGTCCTGAGCCAATCAGGCATGAAGCAAACAGGCATGAGCCAATCAAACACAAGCCAATCAGGCACAAGCCAGCCAGGCCTGAGTCAACTGCAACCAGGCCCGAGCCAATCAATCATGAGTCAACTAGGCCTGAGCCAATCAGGCACAGGCCAAACATGCATGAGCCAATCAGGCAGGAGCCAACTAGGAATGAGCCAGCCAAGTCTGAGGCAACCAGGCAGGAGCCAATAAAGCATGAGGCAACCAAGTGTGACTTCTTTTTGAGTAAGACCTGCGGAGGCTGGAGACTGCCCGGAAATCTTGCATCTAATTAAAGTAAACTGCTTTCTCTTCATTCCATGGAGCTTCATGGCATTAGTTTAAGGCTGAGGGTATGGAAGGCATATTCTGTCTGAATCCTAGCTCTGTCAATCATGACTCATGTACATAAATTTCTGGAAGTTACTTAAGCTCTATAAGCTTCTGTTTCCACATCTAAAATCAAGATCACAATACTATCTATTCACAAGATTGTTGTAATGATTCAGAATATAAAATGATTACATATTAATTGCTTGACTTATAGTTGGGGGCTTAAAAAATCAAGGGGGAACCAACATGGATATTTCAGGGACCTAATGTGTTGTTCCTCCTGGGGAAATTTTAACTTTAAAAAAAGGATCTTCAATAAAAGGAATGCTTAACTCACATTAATGACCCGTCAGTGATAGAATTTCTAGCTAATAATAGCTATGATTTTAGGATAGGGCATCTTTGTTTGAAGACCACACCTACTTGTGGAATCTCATGATTAACTGTCCAGAAACAATATTTGTCCACAGCAGTTTTTCTGTATAATTTCAGACTGTTGTTTGACTACTGAAGCCCATCCACAGATATCCTCCCAGGAGTCCAAGGAGCGGGGTTAAAAATTTCTCATTTAAAAATTCATTTTAATGGTTTTCCTGAAAATCATCCCAGTGAAGTAAAAGGGACAAACAATTAGCCATAGCTACTGTGCTGGAGCTCTGTGGCACTCAAGGCAATCATTTATGTGATACACAACCTAAACAATTCCATATAAAAGCCCATATAAAAGCAGTTGGTTAGATTTTTTTAAAGGAGTAAATATGTGGCTGGAACAAGTCACCCTTATAAAATATTTTTGTAATGGAACTGTTTCCATCTAATATATAATTTAAATTAGGCCAAGTTTCTGTTCCCTTGGATCAGAGAATGTGTTTTCATGGGCAAAATAAAATACTGGAAGTTTTCAAGTGAAATCTGTCTGTCAAAATTATGCTAGGCCTGGTTACAGATCTATAAGAACTGGATTATCTATCTTTCCATTTCTTCTATTTTATTCTATCCACCAAAGTTCCCACATCATTTCTCTAACTGGCATTAATCCACATGACTAGGTCATCAATCAAAATACTATGCCCAAAATGGTAATTATTCTCGAACCATATTTTTCCAGGTAGAAAATAATTTTAAAGAGTATTTTTTAGCTTAGTATCTAACATTAAGTTAATAATAAAATAATAAAATAAATTTATTATTGAACAACAATGAATCTTTCTATCCAGAAAACTTACCTTCCTTATCTTTACAAACAGGGCCCATTGTTATCACCAAGGGAAAAACATCACTAGATTCTCTAACTTTAGTGAACCTGTATCTGTGAAGTTCCTAACCACATTTACTTTTGAATTTGCCTCTTGTGCTTGAATAAACACTATATGTTTCTTGGAAATAATTTTAATGAATATTCACTGTAGAAAATAATAGAAAAGATAAATTACTCTGTACCACAGACATGAATATGATTAATTTGCTTTTAGATGATCTTCTCTAATGCATATATATCTATTCATCCTTACTCCTGTTCATTGCTAAGTTTGCAAGGCATTCTCTTTGTAAATGAATTTATGAGAGTTTGCCATCATAATAATTCATTCCTTAACTGAGAGATTTGCAGGTTTTACTTACTGTCCTGCCAAGAGTCTTAAAAGTCTTCCAAGCATCCTCTATATGCATCGGTTTTATCCTATTAATCACCACACCACAGCATTATTTGGCCATCTAGCCACTTTATGGCTAGGCAGTCATAACTTCCTGCTTATCAGACTTTCCATTTAAAGCCTTTTTATGGTAGTTCTCAAAGTGTGGTTTTTGGACCATTGCTGATCCATAAGAAGGACTATGTACCGTTAATATCTGATTTTTGTTCACTATGCACACATTGAGTATGTACTAGGGGAAGGCCATGTGCTAAGTACTATAAAGGATGTTGCTGTTTTTTAATAGCTGTCATGTCCAACTCTTTTGTGATCTCATGGACTGTAGGCTCCTCTGTCCATGGGATTCTCTAGGCAAGAATACTGGAGTGGGTTGCAGTTTCCTTCTCCAGGGGATCTTACTGATGTAGGTATCAATCCGGCTGTCTCCTGCATTGGCAGGGGGATTCTTTACCACTGAGCCACCTGGGAAGCTCCACTATAAAGGATACCAGATTATTAAACTATAGTTACTGCCCTCAAAGAGCTTACAGTATCTTAGGGAAGGTGCTCCAAACAGCAGCCAAAATGCTCAAACTTCATTGGGCTCTGGTTGCACTGAGAATAAACTCCAAATTTTTTAGCAATGCTTTATATAATCTGGCCCTTGCTGTCTTCCTTATGTATTTTAAAGACTTTTTCCATTATAAATTTAATGTGATTCCAGTCAAAATCTCCAAGAAGAATAAATGTGTGACTGTTTCTAGAAAAATTCCAAAAAGAAGAGTGATGAGGGGAGGTGATTCCTACCAGATACTATAAAGCTGTAAGTAATTAAAATACTATGGTAATCTATTACAATAGATGCAGGGATAGATTACTGGAACAGAATGGAGAGTCTAGAAGTTTTCTAGGTATATATGTGAATGTAGTACATAATAGGGCCTCCCTGGTGCCTAAGCAGTAAAGAATTTTCCTGCCAATGCAGGAGATATGGGCTTGATCCCTGGGTTGGGAAGATTCCCTGGAGAAGGAAATAACAATCCACTTCAATATTCTTGCCTGGGAAATCCTATGGACGGACGAGCCTGGTGGGCTACAGTCTGTAGAGTCACAAAAGATTTAGATAGCACTTAGCGACTAAACAAGACCAATAATGGTACATAATAAGTGGACATTTCAATTCAGTTAATAAAAGATGAGTTATTAAATAAACAGTGTTGGGATAATTGGGGAAAAAGACAAAGGTGAAATTCCACCTTCTTACATACAGATAAAACCAAATTAATTATTTATATATATATAACTTAAAACAGATTGGTGGTTCCTAGAGGTGGGAGGTGGGGTGGGGGTGGGGGATATGGCTGAAGGTAGTTAAAGGGTAAAGACTTCCAGGTATAAGATAAATAAGCTCTGGAGATGTCATGTACAGTATAGTGACTATAATTAACAAAGAAGCCCATAGTTAGCAAAACTGCAGTGCATATTTGAAAGCTATTAAGAGACTAGATCTTAAAAGTTCTCATCACAAGAAATAAACTGTAACTATATGACATCATTAATGTTAACAAAACTTATTGTGGTAATCATATCACAATGTATACATACATCAAATCATTATGTTGTGCACCTTGGATTAATACAATGTTATATGTCAATTATATCTCCAAAAAACCGGAAAAAAATAAAAAAAAAATAAGAAAGGAACAAAAGTGACTATTTTTATAATTCCAAAATGGGGATTGCCTTTCCAAACATGAGATCCAAGCTGTGAAAAATTAATTTGAAGGTGTAGAAAAAATTATATTAAAAAGCCAAATAAATTCTAAAGTTAAATTGGAAAGAACACCTCACAGGCAAATACAACAGACTTCTCTGTAAAGTCTGTGAACTTTATAAGACTTTGTGACATCTATCTTGAATGCTCAGAAAACCTTTTGGCTTAACTTCCTGATTTCATTGTATTCAAGGCTAGTTACCTAGATAGCTACCTAGTTACCTAGATAGACCTTCATAGGAGTGATGTATTGATATAGTTAATTTCTCTATATATTTATTCTCTTGTTGCATATGCTATTTTGGATTTTAAGTTTCTAGATGACTGGAGTTAAGTCTGATTCATTTTAATACTACCCACAGCATTGTATGTTAGTAAATGCTCAATAAAAACTTCATGCTTATCATCTTAAGAATTTGTTCCTAGGAATCCCCTTGTAGTCTGCTGGTTAGGACTTGGTGCTTTTACTGCCATGGCATGGGTTCAATCTCTGTTTGGGGAACTAAAAGATACTGCAAGGTGTGCAGAATGGCCAAATTTTTTAAAAATTAAAGAATTTGTTACTAAACCATAAACTGAAAGTTTTCTCTACTTTGACAGGAATTGGCTGCCTGAAAACATGCTAGATGCAGTGAAGTTAACATCAAAGGGTAAGATGATATTTTCAGAGCTAGAAAAAGAAACATGGCATAATGTATGCACAAAGCATTACTTGTACCTAGATATGTGGATGCTGCTGTCCTTGGTGCACAAAGAAACTGTCATTAATAGTATCTATATGTACAGGACAAAAGTTCGTATGAAGTGCTATTAATAGTTTTGTAAGTGTAGCAGTATATTTTCCCCATTTTTAAAGTATGAAATTGATAGTTAAGTCATCTTTACAGCAGCAACGGATTTCAACTAATTTTCAATATATAAAATGAGAAGTGTAGTTGATCAAAGACAGTATAATTTAATGCCCAATATGTTAGAAGAAGCCTGATAGGATGAAATGGATAAAAACAAAATGACTTAAAACTATTTTCAAGGAATTTACTACATTTTGATAGCCAGCAATATTAATAGGCTAGTTCAGTTCAGTCGCTCAGTTGTGTTTGACTCTGCGATTCCATGGACTGTAGCATGCCAGGCTTCCCTATTCATCACCAACTCCTGGAACTTGCTCAAACTCACATTCATCGAGCCAGTGATTCCATCCAAACACCTCAGCCTCTGTCATCCCCTTCCCCTCCTGTCTTCAGCCTTTCCCAACATCAGGTTCTTCACATCAGGTGGCCAAAGTCTTGGAGTTTCGGCTTCAGCATCAGTACTTCCAATGAATATTCAGGGCTGATTTCCTTTAGGATTGACTGGTTTGATACCCTTGCAGTCCAAGGGACTCTCAAGAGTCTTCTCCAGCACCACAATTCAGAAGCAGCAATTCTTCGGCGCTCAGCTTTCTTTATAGTCCAACTCTCACATCCATACATGACAACTAGAAAAGCCATAGCTTTGATTAGATGGACCTTTGTTGGCAAAGTAATGTATCTGCTTTTTAATATGCTGTTTAGGTTGGTCATAACTTTTCTTCTAAGGAGCAAGCATCTTTTAATTTCATGGCTGCAATCACCATCTGCAGTGATTTTGGGAACCCAAGAAAATAAAGCCTCTCACTATTTCCATTGTTTCCCCATCTATTTGCCGTGAAATGATGGGACCAGATGCCACCTCAGATATGCAGATGACACCACCCTAATGGCAGAAATCAAAGAGGAACTTAAGAGTCTCTTGATGAAAGTGAAAGAGGAGAGTGAAAATATTTTTTTAATGTTGATTTTATTTTTTTTTCTTCTTTTAAAAATATTTATTTATTTGGCTGTACTTGGTTTTGGTTGCAGCACTTGGGCTTAGTTGCTCAGCACATGTGGTATCTTATTTCCCTGATCAGGGATCGGACCTGAGGCTCCTGCATTGGAAGGTGGATTCTTTTTTTTTTTTTTTTTTTCATTTATTTTTATTAGTTGGAGGCTAATTACTTTACATCATTGCAGTGGTTTTTGTCATACACTGAAATGTATTAGCCATGGATTTACATGTATTCCCCATCCCGGTCCCCCCTTCCACCTCCCTCTCTACCCGATCCCTCTGGGTCTTCCCAGTGCACCAGGCCCGAGCACTTGTCTCATGCACCCAATGTTGATTTTTAAGCCAACATTTTCACTCTCCTCTTTCACTTTCATCAAGAGGCTCTTAAGTTTCTCTTTGATTTCTGCCATTAGGGTGGTGTCATCTGCATATCTAAGGTTATTGATCTTTCTCCTGGCAATCTTGATTCCAGCTTGTGCTTCATCCAGTTTGGCATTTCGCATGATGTACTTTGCATATATGTTAAATAAACAGGGTGACAATATATAGCCTTGACGTACTCCTTTCCCGTTTTAGAACTGGTCTGATGTTCCATGGCCAGTTCTAACTGTTGCTTCCTGACCTGCATACAGATTTCTCAGAAGGCAGGTAAGGTGGTCTGGTATTCCAGTCCCTTGAAGAATTTTCCACAGTTTGTTGTGAACCACACAGTCAAATGCTTTGTTGTAGTCAATAAAGCAGATGTTTTTCTGGAACTCTCTTGCTTCTTTGATGATCCAGTGGATGTTGGCAATTTGATCTCTGGCTCCTCTGCCTTCTCTAAATCCAGCTTGAACATCTGGAAGTTCACAGTTCATGTACTGTTGAAGCCTGGCTTGGAGAATTTTGAGCATTACTTTGCTAGTGTGTGAGATGAGTGCAATTGTGCAGTAGTTTGAACATTCTTTGGCATAGATTTTCTTTGGGATTGGAATGTAAACTGACCTTTTCTAGTCCTGTGGCCACTGCTGTGTTTTCCAAATTTGCTGGCATATTGAGTGCAGCACTTTCACAGCATCATATTTTAGGATTTGAATAGCTCAATTGGAATTCCTCCACTAGCTTTGTTCGTAATGATGCTTCCTCAGGCCCACTTGACTTCACATTCCAGGGTGTCTGGCTCTAGGTGAGTGATCACACCATCGTGATTTTCTGGGTCATGAAGATCTTTTTTGTATAGGTCTTTTGTGTATTCTTGCCACCTCTTCTTAATATCTTCTGCTTCTGTTAGGTCCATACCATTTATGTCATTTATTGTGCCCATCTTTGCACAAAATGTTCCCTTGGTATCTCCAATTTTCTTAAAGAGATCTCTAGTCTTTCCCATTCTGTTGTTCTCCTCTATTTCTTTGCCTTGATCACTGAGGAAGACTTTCTTATCTCTCCTTGCTATTCTTTGGAACTCTGCATCCTAAAGAGTATATCTTTCCTTTTCTCCTTTGCCTTTAGCTTCTCTTCTTTACACAGCTATTTGTAATGCCTCCTCAGACAACCATTTTGCTTTTTTGCATTTCTTTTTCTTGGGGATGGTCTTGATCCCTGCCTCCTGTACAATGTCATGAACCTCTGTTCATAGTTCTTCAGACACTCTATCTATCAGATCTAATCCCTTGAATCTGTTTGTCACTTTCACTGTACAATCGTAAGGGATTTGATTTAGGTCATACCTGAATGGTCTAGTGGTTTTTCCTACTTTCTTCCATTTAAGTCTGAATTTGCAATAAAGAGTTCATTATTTGAGCCACAGTCAACTCCTGTTTTTGCTAACGATATGGAGCTTCTCCATCTTTGGCTGCAAAGAACATAATCTGATTTCGGTGTTGACCATCTTGTGATGCCCATGTGTTGTGTTTTCTCCTATGTTGTTGGAAGATGATGTTTGCTATGACCAGTGTGTTCTCTTGGCAAAACTCTATTAGCCTTTGCTCCACTTCATTTTGTACTCCAAGGCTAAATTTGCCTGTTATTCCAGGTATCTCTTGACTTCCTACTTTTGCATTCCAGTCCCCTATGATGAAAAGGACATCTTTTTTGGTTGTTAGTCCTAGAATGTCTTGTAGGTTTTCATAGAATATACAAGATGATGAATTACAACATTTTAGTCAGGGAATGAGAGAAGAAATGAAATGATTAAAGTGTACAGTCCCTGACTTACTTATGACATGACTTAAACATTTTTGGACTTTATAATGGTTCAAAAGCAGTACACATTCAATAGAAACTCTACATCATATTTTGAAGTTTGTCCTTTACCTGAGCTAGCTATATGTATAGGATGCTTTCTTATGATGCTAGGCAGAAGCAGTGAGCTGTGGCTCCTTGTCAGTGATGTAATCATGAGGGTTAATAACTGATACATTTACAACCATTCTGTACCCATACAACCATTCTGTTTTCACTCAGTAAACAGTTAATCACATGAGATATTCAACACGTTATTATAAAATGGGCTTTGTGTTAGATAATTTTGCCCCACTCTAGGTTAATGTAAGGGCTTCTTCAGCGGCACTAGTGGTAAAGAACCTACCTGGCAATGCAGGAAATAATGAGATGTGGGTTTGATCCCTGGGTCAAGAAGATCCCCTGGAGGAGGGCATGGCAACCCACTCCAGTATTGCTGTCTGGAGAATGCCATGGACAGAGGAGCCTAGCGAGCTGCAGTCCATAAGGTCACAAAGAGTCGGACCCAACTGAAACGACAGCATGAAGGCTAATCTAAGTGCTCTCAGCAGGTTTAAGGTAGTGAAATGAAAGTCATTCAGTCATGCCCGACTCTTAGCGACCCCATTGACTATACAATCCATGGGATTTTCCAGGCCAGAATGCTGGAGTGGGTAGCTGTTCCCTTCTCCAAGGGATCTTCCCAACCCAGGGATCAAACCCCGGTCTCCTGCATTGCAGGCAGATTCTTTATCAGCTGAGCCACCAGGGAAGCCCAAGAATACTGGAGTGGGTAACCTATCCCTTTTCCAGTGGATCTTCCCAACCCAGGAATTGAAGTGGGGTCTGCTGCATTGCAGGCGGACTTTTTACCAGCTGAGCTACCAGGAAAGCCCCAGGTTTAAGGTAGGTTTAGGTTTAGGCCAAACTATGATGCTCAATAGTTTGGGTATATTAAATACATTTTTGATTTATGATATTTTCCACTTATGATGAGTTTATCAGGATGCAACCCCATCTTCAGTCGAGTGAAGTCTTGACCTAAATAAAATTACACACTTGGGATTCCAAATGAATCTGAGGATCAGTTTCATCACTCCTGTGAAAGAGGATGTTAGAATTTTTATTGGGATGGCAGTGAATCTTCAGATCACTTTGGATAATATTGACATCTTAACAATATTAATTTAAGTCTTATCTATGAACACAGGATAACTTTCAATTTTTTTTAGATCTTTAATTTCTTTCAGCAATGTTTTATAGTTTTTTGTATGTATTTCACCTCCTTGGGTACATTTATTCCTAGGTATTTAGTTAGTTTTTAGGGGCGGTTGTAAATGGAATTGCTTTTTTAATTGATTTTTTGGTTTGTTCTTTGCTGGTATATAACAATACAACTGATTTTTGTTTGTTGATCTTGTAGCCTGCAACTTTGCTGAATTTGTGTTAGTAGCTTTCTTTTGGATTCTTTGGGATTGTCTATAAATAGGCTTACATCATCAGAAAATAAGGGCTTCCCAGCTGGTAGTAGTGATAAAGAACTTACCTGCCAATGCAGGGAACATGAGATGATCCCTTGGAAAAAGGCGTGGCAAATCACTCC